TTCTGTTCAAAGTCATTCATAAAAGTCTGACTATTACTATAACCAGAGAGATACAGACATATTGGACGGATAATATTTATAACATGATTCTATACAAATACTTGTGAAATGATGACTCAGTTGCAATCATATTTCGTGCACGTGGCGATCTTGCACGTTGCAGCATGATAAAGCAGGGTGCAACTCTTTGTTCCACACAAAAGCCCATCCCCTGCCTTCCGTTTTCTCGTTATTTCGAGGCATGCCTCCCCCAATGTATTGATCCATGCAGGCTTGTAGCACACTGCCACACATCTAGCATGCACATTAGTGTTGTTTGTCAATTGGCCACACTGATCAAAAACCTTGTTACTGGTACCATCACGGCTACAGTTCTATACCTCGTTAACAACATCTGTTAAATTACAGAGTGGTCATTACAAATTAAATTCTTCCTTGTGCAAATTTGTTCAAATACAATCAAGAGGCTTTAATTTGTTTCTCTGAATATTAATGTTCATGGAAAAAGGGGGGTTATGCAATGATGAACAAAGCAATTAACATGTGCTGGTAGCATTGTTCAAACGCATGCATTAGTATAAAAATAATGAATATTTATGAGTGCAATGGTAAGAATAATTTCATGAGATGACAGATGGAATGTTCCATGCCACGAGGCGAGGCTGAGTTGAATGGAACATTCCATCTGTCAACGAATAAATGTTTTCTTTTCATTGCACGAATGCGAATACGAAACATTCATTATTTGTGTTATACAACACCTGAATAAATCCTCGTCATCTGATTGGTCAGAGCCACCATCATGTGACCGTGCAATGGAACTTCTATTCATCGTGGAATATAACTTGACATGTGATCAATGACCCACCAATCAGATGACGGGGATTTATTCAGGTGTTGTATACAATTAATAATACCTACTGACTTGCTAATAATTACCATGCCATATTGCCATATTTTATTGGCACCCCTAGTAATTATGGTAATGAGTAGCCTATGATCCATGTAAATTGCAGACAGGGCAACTGCTCTTAAAATGTTGTCCTTGAATAGTTTAAAATGCCAGGCAACCATCTATAACTTATCCCAGCCTTTATAAATATGATTGTTGCGGCATCCAAAACACTACCATCCAGTATGCACGCTATAGTGTCATAAAATTGCCTGCATGCATATAAAAAGATTTTTTTGTTCAACAGAAAAATAAAATGCAAAATTTTCAACTCCAAAGAGGGAAATACTTTTATCGACATTATATTCCATTTTTTCCTATCAATACCTACATTCTGAATCAAGGTGCCAATGACACACAGTTCAAAATTTAACAAACTCCATCTTAAAGGGAAGATACAACATTTGCAAAGATCAAAAAGCGAAATGATCAAATTATCAAGCAATATCTAACCGGATTGTTAGGGAATGACAGCCTAAAGCACCCTTTAAAGTTGCGGCTCCTAGTGTGCTGACATTTTCAAGAAAAAGTGTAATTTTCCAACGCTGGGCGGCCGACCAGCGTTGGAGAAAAATGGCTTTTTTTTTCAAAAAGCGCTCCTAATTTTTCATATTTAGTTCGACTACGTTTTCTTTGCAATTGATTACACACCTGTGAAGACTACAAGCCTGCTGGACTGATTTTCATGATCTTACAATTCCCCCCAGTCTATAAATTGCTCCGGTTCATCTTAAGTGGCATCAGGGAACCAGACTACAAGAATATGATTGGTTTTCTTGGTTTTTCCAGCATCTACGAACCCAAAAAGTGAAACAAGTCAGTGTAACAATATTTGCTATAACATACTAATCCTCGAAATCTATTTATTTCTGAAAATTGCAGCAAAAGCAAATGTTGTACATTCCCTTTAAAACTTAAAAAGTCTATATCATATTTATTTCCTGCTTACGTTGTTCAATAATGGCACTACATGTATATCAGTGGTTCAACACGACCAGAAAACTATTTTCCTGCTCTATTGTACTTTTATAATTTCAAAAGTTGGAAATTATTCTTCATGAATTATTTGCTAAAAAGATTTAACTGTACTCCTCCAACATTTCCGGAAATTTCAAAAATTTTAGCCTAATCTTGTTATTACGCACACAATGCAAAAAGCTCATGTGTGGGTGTAATTCAGAAATTTACCTGTGTGGGTTTTTTAACCATTTTTATTTTCTTGTTCACTGAACACCCCTGGATTAAATAATGGGGGTGGCTGACTTATCCTCTATTCATGCTATTCATGTTCATGAATGGGATTTGTGGGGGTGTAGCACAATCAAGTTCCAATGGAATGACCTCCAGTGTCACCAACAGGCGAATCCTGACAAAGGGCCCGGTGTACACATACAATAAGTATTGAAAAAGTTTGCAGTCGTTAGTCACTGGTGATCACTAGTTGAGTGTACAAAAACTGGTTGGCAACTGTACAGCATGTAGATTTTTCTTTTCTCAATTAAAACCCTTTTATGCAAGGTTTACACATGGGCTTATGGCCAGGCAGTGCTTTACTTAGCTGGCCATATAAGTGTTAGAATGATTATAAACATGCCAGTATACATGTACATGTAATGGGAAAGTATAACTAAAACATGTTTGTTGACAAGAAAGCAATACTCTCTGCACATATTTACCCATTGCAGAATTTGAGTAACTTTTCACTTTGAAGGGAAGAAGTTAAGATTCAAGACCATTACTTACCCTAAACTTACCATGTCACCATGTCTTCTCTTTCTTGTAGTTGTAGAGTATTCACTGGGAGTGGATTTCAGCTGCTTTCCTTCCAAAATGGGGGGGGGGGGGGGGGGATTCAATACCTCAGCTTCATCTCCAGGTTTCGCTTCAGGAAATTTTATATCACAAATGAGACGACCAAGGCTCTATATTATTTTGCTGTGCATCACGATGCTATGATATGAGGTTGGGACATGATTGATAGGCCTCAAAAGGATTATGTTGGTGCTGAAGCCCAACTGGAAACAAAACCAAGGTTTCAAACACGCCTTTGACATGGATGGTGTTTGGATGGGGAGGGGGGGGGATAGATGAGCAACTATCTAGCATCAGCATTCAGCACGGTCCTCGTCGCAGGGGTCAACTGAGTCATCACTCGCAGTCTCTGGTTCTCAAATTTCTTTGGAATCAAGACTTTTTTCCTAATTTTGCCATTTGTTTATTTTTTGGTGATCATCACGAAAACAGCATTCCAAGTGATAAACTGGATGCTAAGTTTCTTCAATTAACTGTGGATAAACCCAACAATAGTGTTAGTGTTGATTAATATTGTAATAGTTTCCAATTTTCATTCCAACTTCCTCCATTTAATTTTGTCGTGCAAAACCAACAGAAACCTAAACACGATCAATTCCTCTTAATCCTGAAAGTTTATCCTGATGTTTGACTTTAGATTTTAGTCCAAAGATCATTCCAGGTTTTCATTGTAATGCATGCCTTAATTTTATATTTGCATTTTTAATTGAAACTAAAAATACAAGTTGTAGAACAAGGAAGCACTTGGCTAAAAAAAAAACACTAAAATTTTGCGCATCTGTTGTAATCGGTGATCATATTCCTTGACCGACCTTCATAAATTTCATCTTCTGGGCAACCAACTTTTAGTTGCTTTCATGTATCACTTTCACTTGGTTGTGATCATGAGATTTTTGCAGTGCCTCCAGTCATGTGACTGTCATTCTGGACTTTCATCAATCATAACAAAAAATTAATTTAAGTACGCAATATGATGTAACACGGTCACAATCCGTAGTCACGACGCAATCAACTGCTAATACTCGTTACCAATTCTTTCTTTTCCATTCACAAGGTAAAAAGCCAGGAAGACCAAAGTTCAAGTGAACCATTTTTTAGCCCTTAAATTTTAACTTTTTCAAAGTCTGTAATGCTCCACTGGCAGATAATAATTACACGCAGATATGAGCTCCGATATGGTTGACAATTTATAGCACGCAAGATAACTTCTCCGGGGTTAGAGTGTCAAACCACTTAATCACTTACACGTCGACACTTGGTCAAAAGTCCGCTAATTATCTATCTGGTTCATCAAATATTCATTGCATATACCTGTACTTTACAAGAGTTACCCAAAGCATGCATGTACATGTACATAAACATGCAACTCCATTTTAAAACTTTTTTTGTGAAATCCGAAAAGTCAAGTATTTTTAAGCAGCATTTCCTCAACCAGACGAGTCGAGATTCCCACCGACATGGCAAGGAGGATGAGGCGTTTTTAGAACGTCCCTGTGCCCCATAAATGCGAAGGAATACGTTCACGCAAAGCTATTTGATTATCACTCAACTACTATAATCATTTTTTAGTTTACTGCGTTTTATGTACATGTTATTTGATCAGCAGCAATTAAGTGATCAACGATTACATCATTGCATTTGTTATTTCGTATTTTGGAATTTTTTTGTGCAACTTCTATTTGTGAAGTTAGCTATGGAATCTTGTATCTGTTCAATTTAAAAACTAAACAAAAGCACACAATTTTCAAATGACAAATCAACACAAAACATTTACACGAAACCAAACGGACAATTTTGACAAGCACCATCACAACAAAGAGGAACCAATAACAAAACACTGGGACCGATTGTGAGCCTGAAGATCTATATAGTTTTATCACCTTCTGAAGCACAATTCAGATTACACCGTCATTCAAATTACTAGTGTCCACATGTAAATCACATGTACATGTAAATACTGCACATGTATTTCTAATTGTTTCCCAAGGTTATGTGTGCCCACTATGTTTGCAAACATAAATCCATAAATTCAACAAAATTGCTATTTATACACGTGTGTTGAATTTTCCTGTTAATATTAATAAGTTGTTTTTTATAGACGGTGAGCTTCATAATTCTAATGCGCTACGAAGCTATACGGCCACTTTTTTCCCTATTAGAAATTAGAAAGTGGGATCTCCAGGCTCAGGAACAGATCCGATTGAACACAACAAAAGAAAAAGAGGAGGAAGCATGCTTTCAAATAACAGTTAAATAAGAAATAAGTAACATTTAATCATTTAAATTGTACAGAAACAAAAATACATGTACATGAATATAAATGGTTTCTGAATAAAATTGCATACATTATAAGAATACTGATTTCAATTTATTAATAGTTAAAAAACACTACAAGATGCCGTTTAGCACGCAAAACCCACCCTTCGCAGTGAGCCGCGTGAAAAATATTCTCGTCAGACATTGGACACTTTCAGCTGGGTCAGTAAGACTGCAGGTATGCGCTTGGTTGCGAGGCAGTGAATGCTAGACGGCATCGGCTAATTTGTAATCAAATGAAACGTGAGCAAGGGCTGCGCTCTGCCCATGTCAAAAAGCTTGGCAAATCACAGATTGACGTATTCCACTTTTGTAAAGACACAAGTTGATTTTTTAGAAACAATGGAGCGTAACCTATCCAGACAGCAGTTCTACAACCAGCTAAAAATAAAACACCAAGATTCGCAAAACACGTTAACAGTCTACCTTGCAAAAAAAAACATAAATTGATGTTGATTTTCACGTTGCTAAAAGCAAGCAAAGAGGTTTACATGAACTACACTGTACATGTTTAAGTTAGTTGTTTATCAAGTTGGCTTTTGACCACACTGTCAGAATAAGCTACTTCCAAGGACCATTTCAATAGAAAATAGAAAAACTGCACTACCAGCAACTCAATACCTTGCTTTATTGCTCCATTAACATAACTTTTTATTTAATTTTTTTTTTTGGAATATAATAATTTAGGCAATTCAAAAACACTTTTCTTTAAAAACTTTCAAAAATTTAATTAATACCAAAAATACAAAAAATTATAATGAAATGTGCAAGACATACTGGAAGTGTGCACATTTCTCTTTCTGTCGTAAGTTAATAAAATATTTCATAATTTGTTTTATCGAGCTAACATTACTTTTCTTACCAGTTCAGGCCCTGATGCTTAAAGCAGAAATAGACAATAGAGGGAGAGAGTCAGTCAGTACTGGTTTTAAAAAACACCTGAACAATGAATACTGAGAAAGCCAAGTTCTAAACATTATCGTAAACAGGGAAGTAGGTCATTTTGTTTTGGTTTTTCGTCTCAAATTGCTGTTGTTTTTGGTAAAACATCTCAAAAGGTTTTGTCATACAGTCTTTTTCATTTAGTATTCATAGAAAAATCTAACTAACGCGTCTTGGTACTGTCGGTCTTATTGTAAATATATAATCTTTACTTTTGTTTATTTCTCATGCCAGAAAGGCGTGGGCTTGGAGTTCTTGCATAGTGCAAAGTAATCTTTAATTATTTCATGGAGAGCTGGACAGCTGCCCGAAAAAAACTAGAAATTCTTGTTTTAACTCTCGTGTCTGCATGCGACAAAAATACATTTTGAAATGCCGTAGAAGGTACAGTTGACAAAAATTAAGGATGTGCACCATTAATACATTCTCCCTTTAAAAATACATATTCTTATATACCTCACATAACATCGTGGTTAATAATTCTTCGGTTAGTAAGAAAGCGGTAAAACACTGAATGATTAAACTGTGGAATCTCAACATCATTGAAGCGTATAAATACATCAACCACGGCATATTTTCTGATAAGAGCCAACAACATTTGAGTACTGCTGTAACGCATACATTCCTAAATCCATCCATTAACAAAAGGAAATACACTGTATTTGAAGGGCGAATATTATTCATTGCTACTGTAATAGGCGCGGTTACACCAACAAAATATATTAAGCATTTCTAAGTGTCATTTCATAATAAAAAGTAAATGAGTTTTAACTCTCTCTCACCGCCCCTTTCTCGAACACACTTGCAGCACTTAAATCAAAATTAAGGAAAAAAATAAAACCCGGATTTTCAACATACATTCAACGGGTGCATCTTGCCAAGGATTTCGGTAACGGCGACCTGGCCATCCCTGAATTTGGAATAATCTTTGCAAGTCTTTTTTTTTTTAGTTCCTCTTCTACTTGGTTTTTTAAATTTTGGCAGCTAGTTAAAAAAATAAAAAAATTGCAGAAAATCCAGAGCGTATAAAGGCAGTTGGCAACCGCCAACTAGCTTTTCAAACATCAGGAACAAATGCTTTGCATTTAATACACGACACCTAGAATGGTTAGTTGCACACAGAGGTATGCCAAAAATATAACGAGTTATCAACATAAATGCAGTGAAAATGATCACTATGAATATAAATGGGCTACAAAAATAATGTGCTTCTCTTTTTAAATTTTTTTTTTTAGGAATCAACCTGCAATAGTTGTATAAGAACATTGCTTTTCGATTCAGTTGAATAACTACCAAAGTACAAAAAACCAGCACACAATCTGAAAAATTTCAACATCTTAATTAAACGTCAATTTTTTTTTCTTTCACGACCAAAAAAATAAACTCTTACAATATTATAATTTCTTCAAAGTCTCAGCAAATATAACAACATTAGTAACGTTCATGGCCGAATGAGGATAATGGGCCAACAGGAAAATAAAAAATATCTTTTGCATTTCTTAACGATAGTTAACTTTTTTTGTTAGAACATGGAATATTTGGTCAAATAACACACCTACATATACAGGTACACAAGAACTGTTTGGAATATATTAAAAAATAAGACTCTCACTACACATGCAACGAAATCACAAGACACTTCTCTGAACTATTTATACAAATATCTTTTTTGACGTGGATATGCACGACAAAAAAAAAATTCACTTGAGACATTCAGCCGGGCACCAATATGATACAGGGTCCTAATTTGTATACAATAAAATAAGTCTAGGGTATGCGCTAAATAAGTTCATCTGACAGGGTAAAATATAATGTATAGACAAAAAATCTGATATATTTCATTTTCAAATTGTCCCAACTGAAAGTGTTACGGGTTACATTCATTTGAGATAATCATATAAGAAATAAATGAAAACTATACAGTTAATAGTAAATACTCTGTCTTTTCAATAATTATTCTTGCATTAAATACATGCTACATAAAGCTCTGTTAAAACCCAGATGATTTCCCTCGTAAATTAAATAAGATCTTTATTCAGTAGACATTCTTTGTATGAAATAGACCTCTTTTCTTTAAAGTTGAAGAATAAAATTTTTAGTTTATGCCATAATCTGTTTTGCTATACAATATGCAACGATGAACTTTTTTTAATATTTTGACAGTCCAATAACATTTAATTTCATCAACATCTATATTACGAAATGCAACAATTCTGTGGCGAGTACTACCATAATGCGGATACATTAGTACAATGCTTTAGGTGAAAATGCGAATGGCCTGGGTCACCACTGTTTGGCAGACGGGGCATTCGCCATCAGTGGTTTCCACAAGGCGATTTGCACAGTCCATACAGAACATATTGTGACCACAGGGCACCAGTGCAGCGACTACCTCACTGGTGAAGCATACCACGCACTCTTTGCTCTTTTTGGCCGCGGAGGACGATCCCAACGAATCAGTGGGACTGCTGCATGAACTGCCATGGCTGCCCGCAGAATTGCTGGAAGCAAATGCATTGGCATTTGACAGCGGCACGAACGAAGGCAAAGCAGACAGGCCACCCTCAAGAGGATCGCTGCGAATGCGCCTAGCAGGTGGATGCTCGTTAGCGTTGGCATCCACACCAGATGTGGGAGCCGAGGTACTCACGCTGCTGCTTCGTCGCGGTGCTTGATGCTGAGTGGTCACAGGGTTCAAGCCCAGACTGCACCGCGTCAGGTCCTGCCACAGAGACTGGTTACCTGCAGACTGCAGCCCTGGTAGATCAAACCCTGGCGAATCGATCCCCAGATCAGGGGATGGGCAATCGTTGAACAGAAAACCATTGGTCGGGAATGACGGCAAGGGATTAAACTCATTCAGCTTTGTGGAACCGTTGCTGGTTCCGTTGGTGTTGGGAAAGAAGTAGTTGCTCTCACTTCCCACGCCGTTGGCACGTGGCTGGTCATTCTTCCCACCCACCATAGGGTTGAAGATATTGGTAAGTGCCGATATAGAAGCCGTGGTCGAGGGTGGGGGCTTGAAGACGGACGAATCATGGCGGTGGCTGAACAGACCGGTGTCTGTGCCATTGGAAGCAAAATCATTCTCCTCAGCACTGGAATCGATCAGGCCGCCGGTGCGTAGTGCGATGTGGGCTTCTATCTCCTCTCTGGCTCTCTCCACGTTCTCCGGCATGCCGGTGACGACAAAGACGGGCTGATTGTCACGGCTTGGAGTGATGATGTACGTATTAGTCTGCTGCTGGATTCTCTTGACGGTGGATCCCTTGGGGCCCACCACAAGGCCTACGACGCGGTACGGCACTTTGACATGAATGGTGGTTTGTCCTGGTAAGTTAGGGACAGTCAGGGATCCATTGACTCCACCACCACCAGCTCCTGTGGTACCATTCACCGCACCGTGCACCTGATTGTTGCGACGTGCCCTGATCTGGCTGAAGTGGTCAGCAGCCGACAGGATCTCCCGCTTGGCAGCGGCAACATCCTCTTTCCTTCCAGTGACAACAAAAATCGGGTCTTCTCCACGGACTGGCGTCTTGATGTAGGTGTTTGTCTTTGCTCTCAGTGCCTTGATTTTGCAACCTTGAGGAGGAACAACACACTGTCATTGTACAAATGTGGATTCATTTTTTTCAAATAGCGAGACATTTACAAATTACCTCCCGTGCATTTATACTGCATGTTCAACAAAAGCAAAAGTATAAAATAAATAAATAAACTATCAACACTGCCGATAAAAAAATGCTGACTACATCTAAATCATTACTGATATGGTCATACAGCAAATTATCTGTTGGGAGTTCTTATCTCAATGAACTGTGATCAGCAATGCAAATCATTGCTATTTCAATGCACTGACAGCATAACAGGATGAAACTGAAAGCAGACAGCCAGCACAGCAAAGGGCAACTGGTTGCAATGTAACAAATACATTTTTGCAATTGGATAACATGAACAGCATACCCAACACAACGGACTGAATTCAGGCCGAAGAAAACAGGGATGATCTCAAAAGCACCTTCTAGCTTTGCACAATTTAATGCAGGACTACACCCAGTCAAATTGACATTTGTACAGGGCTATGTTTAAAATAAACAGCAGATGCCCTACAGCACCCGCCATGTCCTTTGATACACGTCAGACTCAAATGCACACAAATACAAACACTAATGTTTAATTTTCTAAACTCTTCATATACTTTAACCATATATACCATACAGTTTGATTTTGTTGATCAACGTGGGTACAAAACACTTGTTTGTTTTGCCTTGGCTTTAGCAGGCCTTGCTTTTGGCTGTTATTTGATTCTATTGGGTTGTCATACTCGTAGGTGTTTTGAGCCCATGTTTTTCATTTCAAGAAATTTACATTTTCTGCCTGAGACAATGTTAAATTTTCCTTCAACAATTACTGGTAAAAGATAATACAATTTTCTGTTCCACCTTCAAGGTGACATAGGGAGTGTCAACTGTAAATCTGATGATTCAATTGTAATTCTATTCAACAGAAGTTAGAAAAACAAACAAGGTGAAAATGTTTTCCATTATTGACAATTTGTTTGATTTCCAAATGTTTTAGTTAAAAGAGTTCACATGAAGTTTGGCTTATTTATTTCATTTCCTTGTTTTCTTTTTATAGGCCTATCATATGCCGATATCAGAATAAATTCAATTCAAACGAATTCCACAAACTCCGACAAAAAAAAAATGCAATACAAAAGGTGTTCTGTTTACAACCTAGATCAACACTCAAGCAGGAAGTGCTTGTCAAATATTGGCCGACTTGGCACAGTTACTGAGAGTTTCAGTTAGTGTTAAAATAAATGAAAAAATGGTTTCATATTTTTTGTAGGCCTTTACTAGGCCTATTTGTCTTTTGATTAAATCTTAATTTATATAGGCCCTATGGCCTTTTTTAAATCATGGGAAATAATTGCGTGATTTGCGTCCCACAAAAAGAAAATCCAGATGCACGGTCTAGTACTGGCCTAGTAGTAGTACAGAATGCAAGCAATTGACATGTCAACAAAGTGTGTTTTTTAATATTTTGCCAAGCCATGCTAGTTTGTTGCTAGGTTGGGAAACAAGCATTTTGCCTAATTCCATTTCAACTGATTTTGCAAAAAAAAGGGGTTAGGAACAGTCTTTTCTTACTGAGTAAGGGGTAAGGGTGAAATTGGACAAAGTGGTAGGGCCTAGGGCATGTAGGACCGCACACAGTACATCATGGCAACAATATGAAAATGACAACAAAACAAAATCGACCACGAAAAGTGTGAACGATTTTGAAAATAAAACTGGAAAATAGGCCTAGGCCTACTTTATAAATTTAAGTTTCATTGTTAATTCTAGTTAAAGTGAGTCACTATGCTTTAAAATAATGTTGAGAAATTACGACCGCCGAGGGCATTACTGAGCAATGGACAACTTTGTAATGCATGCAATGCATCATGGCGATTTATCACAGGATAGGAATGTGCGCACACAGTGTACGGGGGATGGGGTTAGACAATGGCTCATTGGTTTTGTACACGGACCACGCCGCATGTATTGCGCACACGAAAATACACGAGAAAAAAACATGGCTGAATTCAGCAAGCGTGTCAAACAAAGAACCTTACAATTAAGCGTTCCAAAACCATCTCAATTCACTGCAAGTCAGCTTACCTTGTCTTCCTACTATTTCAGCGACATGTTCCGAGCTTGGGACGGGTACACATTCCGTCATATTGCTGCTCCTTCGGCTGTTTTCGTCGTACGTGTTGGCTAGAGATCCCTCGTCTTCGCTGTGGACATGCTGCAGGCCCAACATGGACAAATTCAGCGCCATTTGAAGGGTTTGTTCTTGGTTTTCCAGGCCCACTTCGTCGGTATGCGGCCGCTCCATGGTCGGGAAAAGCGTGCTGGGCATGACAGGGGTAAAACTACGAAGGACGTGTCAGAAAATATATGGTTTCGCCAGGTTTTCTTACGTCCGTAAATTTGAAGAAAGTCTGCGTGCTTGGTTCGGGCGCGGGAATCAAAGTGCGTGCTCGAGTTTTGTAACGTATTTTTTTGTCCGCTACGAATCTGACGTCATTTTCTCCATGCATGGTCGAAGCGCGAGTGTGTGCGAGGGTCACGCCTATGCTAATAAGCACGCCGTCGATGTGATTGGTGGATGGCGTTCCAATGGGCGTGGCCAGAGAGCGCGGAATACAATTTTCGCGCGCTTTGCATGATTTTCCAACGAGAGCCGAACAAGAGAAACAAGGACAATTTGTTTTATGTACAGTATTTTTTGTAGACGCGCAAACGGCTAGAAACACAAAAGACCAAAGGCAAACGAAACACGAGGCGCTGCGCAGGCACATGGAGCGGAGCCCGCCACATCTGCCACGCGCGTGGCCCTAGCCTGCCCATACCCAGTGAGTGGGCATGTACTATGTAATGAAACACTCAAATTACATGTTATTAATTATTTTGGCTATAATAGGCTTTAGGCCTATTGACGGTTCGTTTCATTCTTTTTAGTTGAAATCTGAAATCAAAACTATCGAAGATTATACTACTTTAAACTGAAAACAATATTGCATACCTTTGTGTTACTTTTAGTTTTAGAGGGCATTCTTTCGGTAAAAAAAATTAAATTGATGGACAAGACGTTTACTCGGCGATACAAAACTGTAGGTTCGCGTGAAGGAGACTGGAATCATTAGTGAAGAAGTACTCGCTGTGTTTTTGTATTCCTCCATGCTTGATTACACGCTAAAATAGGGCCCATTATTTTGTTTTCGATTAAAAACAAGTTGACTGCGAGGCCTATTTTTGAAACTCGTGGCTAAATTTCCAGTCTGGAATTACTTCTGCGCGCGCATAATGGACAGATAAAGGGTGCTTGAAGTATAACTGAGGCAGGATGTGTTTTATTCCTCCATGGATGTACAAAATAATATGAAAACATAATTCAAGATACTATTGGGACATGTCGGAACTATTATATAGGACGTCCCTGAAGTAGCACACTACAACCGCTTCAAGTTGTTCCCGATGGACCCAATTCTTTCTGAATGAACAAAAGACCCGTCTGATCTCATGAACCGGGGCGGCACACGCACGGCGGGCCGAGACCTGCTGCTTGACCTTGGAGTTTCGACTCCCTTCAATAAACAAAGAGGACGTTTTGGCGGGAATTCCGGTGACGAAAGATCTGATGTGTCCCAGAACGTGAACGTGATCGGCGTAGAGTCAGTCAAAACATGCATGTTCAATGTATATAGCTCCATGGTCAAAACAATCTACATCAGTGTTTCGTGGTTATTTGCCCATGTGAACTTCCACTGTTCCAGAAGCGAGTGGAAACGGAAAGTAGGCCAGCATAGCATGCATAGGGCGTATAATGATGGTATGATAAAAAGGGCTGCCACTTTTCCATTAAAAAAATCTCACTGCGAAGGGAGTACATTGTACAATGCATTCTGGTCAATTAATGATTGTGTCAATCTGAACGGGATTGCATGTGGCGTATTATAGGCCTATCTGTTCAATCCAGATTGTTGGTCTTTTGTCCACAACTTTAATACAGTCCCTCAAGGCATTGTAATGAAAAATTGAAAAGAGACGGAAGAAGTTTGTCAATGACTCAATTAAATTTAATCGAATCTTATTTGTGCACCGTGATATGGGTCTACTTATTCTCTAAGTTGTTTACACCAGACGCTCGGGAAGGCTTGTCCGATCGATAAATCAATTGGTATTGTGACATTGCGAGTTGTCTCCTGGCCCTTGCGCAAGATGATGAGTCTGTCGATGAATAGAACGTACGGCCGAGAATGCAAGGCGAGTCATCATGACTGTGTTTCAGCATGGAGGTTTTAGGGATCGACTGAAGCCAATCCAGAACTAATCCGTGTTGCAGTCATCATGGGCTAACAATGCATTGCGCACCACAGTGTACATGTAATTTGCGTGGGGGTCCGCTCATAAGTCCGACGCCTCCGTAGGTCCGACGCCTCATTAGTCCGACAAAATCGCATCCCCTAACCAAATAAAGACCCATAAGTCCGACGCCTCATAGGTCCGACGCCTCATAAGTCCGACGCCTCGTAGCTCCGACGCCTCGTAGCTCCGACGCCTCGTAGCTCCGACGCCTCGTAGCTCCGACGCCTCGTAGCTCCGACGCCTCGTAGCTCCGACGCCTCGTAGCTCCGACGCCTCGTAGCTCCGACGCCTCGTAGCTCCGACGCCTCGTAGCTCCGACGCCTCGTAGCTCCGACGCCTCGTAGCTCCGACGCCTCGTAGCTCCGACGCCTCGTAGCTCCGACGCCTCGTAGCTCCGACGCCTCGTAGCTCCGACGCCTCGTAGCTCCGACGCCTCGTAGCTCCGACGCCTCGTAGCTCCGACGCCTCGTAGCTCCGACGCCTCGTAGCTCCGACGCCTCGTAGCTCCGACGCCTCGTAGCTCCGACGCCTCGTAGCTCCGACGCCTCGTAGCTCCGACGCCTCCGACAATTAAACGCCACGTTTTTCCAACGTCGGACTTATGAGGCGTCGGACCTATGAGGCGGAATAAATCAATTGTATGCCTTATAAGTCCGACGCCTCATAAGTCCGAAATTTCGGACTTATGAGGCGTCGGACCTATAAATAAGGCGTCGGACTTATGATACGGCCCCATTGCGTGCATGCACCACGTGCAGAATATGGCAAGGCATGCAGCCAGGTATCATAGATGCTGCCCCCTCCCTTCCTTACCGTCATGATGTTACTGCCTCTGCTATATTTATGCGAAGAGCTGCAGCCGCTGAACAAAATAATGTGCATGCTCTGTCATGAAGGCCTACCTGGGGATTTTATGTTTTTATTCCCTTCACGGTTACCGGAGAATTTCCAAGATTGGTGAGCAGAAAAAAAATAAGCAGGGCTGCAGACAACCCCCGACCCCACAATCACCCATCACCACTATAGCACAATCGCATCAGGGGCTATAATTCCATGCCAATGAGAGGGGTATCGGTTATGTCTTGATTATTTTTATTCCCCAGTAAAAAGAAAATTCTTAAAATCATCACCTCCCTTACCATTTGATATTAAATCAATGATTAACCTTTAATCGAATCAATGTAAATTTTATACATGTACAAGTTGAAAACCATATTATCTCGAAACATGCATGCACAGTCCCCCTCCCCCGGCCCCGGAAAAGAGTTTTTAGTCCAATAACAAAATTCAACGTTGGAAAATCCGACTTGGGGGCGATGTACCCCTGACATAATTATGATGACAGAGGATCGCTTTATGCAAAGGGCAACGACCCCATGTTTTTACAAGTTCATTGGGACATGACATAGGCCTACATTACAATATACTGTGGCATTGTCAGTCTTACTTCAGAACTGCAGATTTTGTCCTCATATTCCAGCTCACTTGCGTTGGTAACGGAGATATTTCAAGTCTCACAGTCTCCGCGCGCTGTCGATCAATCGAGCGGCAGATGGTCATCATCTCACGGGCCGAACTTCCTCGTTTTCCGGTACCATTCGAGTTCCGCGCGCCGCCGAATTGTCGGTATATACTCATTATACCGAGAGTGGCGCGTCCACACTTTTAGGGCGCATGCTGTTTTTTATATCCCTATTATCAGGGAAGCTGACCCGCCTACCAAAATTATGGCAATATTCAGAAACAAAGCCATGCAAATGGTTTTTATTTTAATAACATATGTCGTCATGCCTGAGCTACTTTAAAGGAGACCGGCGAATTCAAAAAGGGAGCTCGATCCGAATTGACACGCGCCCGATGCATGGCACACGCATGCAATGTGTGAATATTGAGATAGGAAACTGCAGTTTAGTCGACTGGTAAACTTAAAGGGAATGTACAACATTTGTCTTTGCTGCAATTTTCAAAAATATATGGATTTGGAGGATTAGTATGTTATAGCAAACGTTGTTAAATTGACTTGTTTCACGTTTTGGGCTTGTAGATGCTGGAAAAACCAAGAAAACCAATCATTTTCTTGTAGTCTGGTTCCCTGACCCACTTTAGATGAAACAGAGCAATTTATAGTTTTTGGGAAAGTGTAAAGTATAGAGAATCAGTCTAGAAGGCTTGTACCCTTTCACAGGTGTGTAATCAATTGCAAAGAAAATGCGGAATAACTAAATATGAACAATTAGGAGCATTTTTTTTTTAAAAGCCAGTTTTCTTCCAACACTGGTCGGGCGATCAGCGTTGGAAAAATACACTTTTTCTTGAAAATGTCAGCACACCAGGAGCCACGATTTTACAGGATGCTTTAGACTGTCATTCCCTAACAATCCAGTAAGGTATTTCGTGAAAATTTGACCATTTCGTTTTATGATGTTTGCAAATGTTGTATCTTCCCTTTAACCCAATGTTCCGTTCATATAGCGATGTTCCAAGTAAGGGTGTATGAATCTTCCATAAATGCATTAAAGATGACTTTGAAGACTTTTGAAGAAGTAAACTTTTACTTTTTACTTAAGTATACTTTTACTTGGTTTTGGTCCAAAAAAAAAATAGTTGGAGTTAATAGGAATTCGAAAAACCGCAAGCTGTAGCTAATGGAGGATTCTGTATGTCCAGGGACTGAAAGTTCAAACTTATGGAAATGAGCCCTGTGGGAACTGGCAACATGGTAATGGCGAATGCAGACAAACGCCACAATGGATCGTAAAGCCAGATTAATAAGGACAATAAAGTGCTAATTACTGTGTTGATCAAAGACGTGTGAAAACCGTGGTAATTACTATCAACGACCCTTATTAGGCGTTCGCTGAAGTTTGACCTTTAAAAAGGTATACATTAATTTGTAGAAAAGGGCCGGGGTGGCATTTGGGGGATTCCAATCCACTGGCGTCAGTCAAACCATTGATTGAAGAAGGAAGGTAAAAACATAGGCAGGAACAGTTCTCGTAGGTTTTGCTTTGCAGGAAAGGGCGGTAAAAAGACCTCTATTCATGCACCCCTGAAATAGAAAAAAAGGGAAAATTCGCGGATTACCCTCAACCTGTTGAACCCCCCCCCCCCCCCCCCCTTATACAAAGTTGGAACAATCTCTTTA